TCCGGGAACCCAAGAGGCAAGCGAATTTTGGGAATAATGAGGGCAACAAATGTATAGATGTGCTTTATACAATTGATCTATGTATTGTGATGAATTGTATAAGCCCCAATAAATTGATTAAAAAAAAATTATTTGCATACACAGTCTCACCTCAGGGTCTTCTGGTAGACACTCAACCTAAGTGAAGGAATGTGCTACTTTTATGCTCAATTTGCAGATCAGGAAGCTGCTGCAGCGAGAAGGGAAGCCCATGGCCACCCACCAGGCTGTTAAATGATGGAACCTGGGGCAGAACCCAGATGGTGTCAACCAAACCTCTTTCCTGGCCCATGTAACTGCTTCTGCCTTGTGTTTGTAAGGGGAAACTGAGGCCTGAGGAGGAGCATGCACAGCAGGTCAGCAGCAGAGCCTGGAGTGCACCCAGAGTTCCCTGTCTGCCCGGAGCTCTTCCCTCAGCTGCACCTCACGCTCCCCTCCAGGTGCTCCAGACGCCAAAAGGGCTGTCAGGGAAACCTTGGCACAAGGGTCTGGCTGGGAAGTTGCCCTTCTTTGGCTTCTGGGGAAGGACCGTTCCTCTGCCCACCCTCACCTGGCCCCACTCTGAGCCCTGTAGCATTCCTCAGTGCCTGGCAGGGCCAGGGGTTCCTGCCTCTGAGCAGAATCTGATCTCTAAAAAAGAGGAGTGGGGGGACCTTGTCTGCTCCCCACAAGCCTGCTCAGGCCATCAAGGGGCTGCCATGGAACCCCCACGGCTCTGTGAGCACCGTCTGAGACCCAGGCACGTACACCCCTCTGTGTCTCCGTTTCCTTCTCTGCAAAAACTGGGCGGTTAGGTGTGTGAAGAGGAGCAGTGTGGACCGGTCTCGGTGCCGAGTTGGGTGCACAGCAGGAGCGTCAGGAGCGTCAGCAGTGAGATGATTCTCCAGGGTGCGGGGTGGGAACTGCCCACTTTGCTTGTCGCCCTCACCGCCACCGAAACTGGTTCCCCCAAGCCCCGTGCTGACTATGCCTGGCTAGATAACGTTTCTAAGGAGCTCTGGGGATGCAATGGTTAAGCACTGTTAACCAAAAGTCAGTGGTTCAAGTCCACTAGCCCTCCATGAAAGACAAGATCTGGGATCTGCGCCTGCAAAGCTTTCAGCGAGGAAACCTTATGGGGAAGTTCTGCTTTGTCCTGTAGGGTCACGAGGACTTGCAATCAACTCAATGGCACACAAGAGTCACAATAACAACAGATAGCTTTCTGAGGCTCCTCAGAGCCCCCGTGTGGCCTCCCCTGTCCTGAGGCTGGGAGGTAAGTCTTCTATACTCTGCCTCTGCCTTTGCCTCCCTTCTTGGCCTCAGCAGATTTTTACTCTGGGCAGGTTCGGGGCCAGCTAGTAGAGACGATGACAAGCACGACAGATAGGGACCCTCATCATCCTTCACAGTCTGTCAGGGAACACAGACAGTAGCACATAGACTCTCAGATCGTTAGTGACAGGGACCTGATTTTATCTGGGCGCGGTGTGGGTTAGGGCACACTGCCAGGACAAGGAAGGTTTATTTGAGCTGAGCTCTGAGGAAGGAGCACACATTGGGAGGGCAGGGCAGGCAGAGAAAACTGCGGGTACAAAGAGCTAGAGGTGAGAAGAAGCATCACTCAACTTGTGGACTGTGCATCAGCACTGGCCCAAGCCACAGGTCACCAGCTTGCCATTGTAGAAACGAGAGTGTGTGTTTAGGAATCAATTGATGGACTACTTTTACATGTTGACTCTAGTACAGTGGTTCTCAACCTTCCTAATGCCGCGACCTTTTCATACAGTTCCGCAGATTGTGGTGACCCCCCCCCCAACCAGCTTTGTGTTGCTACTTCATAACTAATTGTTCTACTGTTATGAATCAGGTGACCCCTGTGAAAGGGTCATTCGACCCTCAAAGGGGTCGCCACCCATAGGTTGAGAACCACTGCTCTAGTAATAAAACATTGGATTTGTAATCTGTCTGTTTCTTTTGTCATGTTTTCCCGTAGTTCATTTTTATAGTGTTTTGCAAAAGTACTGGCTCATGACAGGTTGGAAAATGTTTTAAACCAATCCTTTTGCACAGATGGTTATGAAGCATCGTGTTAGAGAAGCTGGCAGGCAGCCTGGCAGACTGGGAGAGAAGAACCCTGTGCCACACTCACTCATTCCTTCTCTGCCTGGTGGGCTCCTGTACATCCTTCAAAACCCAGCTCCATGGTTCTTCCCTCCTTGGTGCTCCCACAGTTCCTGGGATATCCTTCAGTCCAGCACTAGCCACACTGCCATTATTGAGGTGAAGAGCTATGCTCCCTGCAGCCCTGGGAATTCTTCCAGGACAGGACCATGTCTGGTACATGCTCAGGAGAGGGAGTGAAAAGGTAAGAGTCATACCCCGAAAGCTCGCCTGCCTACAAAAGGGGGAGTTCCAGAATCCCATCCCTACTACACAGACCCATGCAACTAAGATCAAATCACTAGCTTAAGAGGCTGGGGTGGCCTCCCCCTGCAGGTTCCCCTAGGCCACCTCTCCTGACAGCTGCCACGAAGAGCATCCTGCTGGTGGTAGCAGGTGTGGGGCTAAACAGGAGAAGCTCTTGCTCTGTCTCCTCCTGCCTATCCTGGCTCTCTTCTTCCTGGGTTCGCTGGGTACCCCTCGGGTATCTACCCTGCCCTTGAACATTAGTGAGGAAGGGTCTTCTTTCCTTTCCCTGCACCTGCTGCTGAGTCTATGCCACCGTCACGCCACTCCAGTTCTGTGAAGATGAACAAGGTTCCCTAAGTTGTTAGGGCACCAAATAGGTCTAGAAGACAACAAGCTCCTGGCTGAGAGGGCTGCCCACAGAGGCTTCCATGCGGTCAGGGGACATAATAAGGCATTCCTGGCTTCAGACTTTAGTTCATTACTTTCTTGCTATATGGTCTTGGGCAAATCATAGCCCCTTTCTGGGCTTCCATGAGTCCCGGTGGCATAGTGATTACATGTTGGGCTGCCAACTGCAAGGACAGCAGTTTGAAGGCACCAGCCAGCTTCGCGGGAGAAAGACAAGGCTTTCTATTCCTGTAACAAGTCATCGTTCCAGGAACCCGCAGGGGCAGTTCTACCGTGCCCTCCAGGGTCACTCTGAATCGACATCAACTAGATGACAATGAGATGTTTTCTTTCTCCTCCCCCCCCCCCACTCTCCCCTGAGCTTCAGATTCCTTCCATACGGTAAGTAAAGACCATAAAGTCTTCTCCAAAGGGTTCTGGTAAAATGAAATTAGCCAGCACACATTAAGGGTTATGTGTACCCTCATGTGACGCATGCTTCCAATTGGGTTATGGAGAGGTTGGCTTGCACTGAGGTGGGGCTTGTCCCTCTTGCCTTATGGCCTGGGCGCTTGAAGTCTGTAGGGCCACAGCCAAGCCCCAGGGAAAAGGTATAGTCGAGGGACTTCCAAGCTGTCAAGAGGCCACTTGACCTAAAACCCAACACCATTACCCTATCCCATCCTCAGATTTGGAGAGGTCTAACATCCATTCAAGGGCTACAAAAATAAAACTAAAGTTAGAGATAAAGTTAAGTGAACAGTTTTAGCCAAATGTCAGGAGTCCGTTCTCCATGAGACCCCAGCTTTTCTGCGTGTCTTGCATACAGAAGCCCGCTTCCCAGGGTGTCAGGAAACTGTGGCTCAAGAGCCTAGGCGGCTCTTTTGGTACATATGTGTGGCTCTGAAGTAAAATAGAACACTTGTATGGGATATTATTCAGCCAATGGTGATTTCATTTGTTGGTAAAATATATTTATGTCAAATAAATTTTTTTGGGTCAAATAATTTTTAAGTTGTTGTGAGGGACAGGATTGATTCTTCTGTCTCAAAAGTTTGCTGACCCCTGTTCTAGGCTCTCTGGTTATATAGCCAACAGCCTTGTAAGAGAGAGATTGTTTCCTTCCGGGGCAATGGGCAGCACGCAGTGTCCATTATAAAAGATTTGAGTTCCCCGAGCTCCAGCTCTTTGTGTGACACAGCCACGGTGTGCAGGTCTTAGCTTGCCCTCCTTGCTTTGCCTTGCAGGAGTTAGAGTTAGGAGAAGGGGCAGGGACCGTGGTTCCCTTTGTCTCGGAGAGAAATATCTCTCCTGTCACCTCCACGAAACTGTGGTCGGTTAATTTGTTAGCTTACAAGGAGGGCAACATCTCAGACTCTTCACGGTTCTTACTCAACGGGTCAAAAAAAGACACTCATGTATCTGGAAGAGAAAAGGATAGTCCCAAAAGATACCAAACAATCCAGTCCTTTACTCAAAGGAAGGTAGGAGGGCAAAGCGTTTTACAACCCATTATTTGGACACAGCAGGACCTGGGATTAAATCTCAGTCCCACCACGAAGCACTGCCCTGAACAACATGGCATGGATTCCACAAAGGTTCCTGGCTGGCTATGGGAACACAGGCTAGCCTGCCTGCACCTAACCATGAGCCTGACCCAGTGGGGGTTGTGTTTCCTGAAGTGGTGCCTCTTTCTAAGCTGCCCACTCAAAGGGGAGGGTTTTTCTAAGTCACACAAAAGTCTGGTATAGATATGAGCTTGCCTATCATGTGAGCGTGGGCAAGTGGTCTAACTTCTCCAAACCTCAGTTTCTTCATCCATAAAATGAGGACAATTATCCCATATTTCACAGAATGGTTTAGGAATTTAAAGCAATATGTGCTGGATAGGGGGGTTTAGCACAGCATCCAGTATGTACATAGTGCTTGAATATAGCAATACAGTATTACTCTTTCATTAACAAAATACATTCCACTGCCATTGAGTTGATTCTTATATCCATCCTATCTAGGGTTTTTGAGACTATAAATCTTTATGGGACCAGACAGCCTTGTTTTTTCACTCATAGAGTGGCTGGTGGGTTCAAACTGCTGACTTTGTGGTTAGTAGCCCAACATGTAACCCACGACACTGCCAGGGCTCTTGGGTAAAACACAGGGCACTGACATGTGTCAAAGAGGATGGGTTGAGGTGAACTAGCCTTTAGCCAAGGAAGCTTGCTTCTATCATTTACTGGCTGGCTGGCCTTGGGCCAGAAGTGGCTTTTCCTCCGGGAGCCTCAGCGGCCCCAGCGGTGGTAAATTGTGACTGAGAACAGCAGCTGCCTCACAAAATGGGTAGGCTGCTCGGTGGAGAGACGAGTCTGGAGCCTGGTCCCGTGGTAAGCACCCACCCGGCTGCTGGGCCTGCTCCCCCCCAGGAAGGCTACCTTGAGGAGCTCCGGCGCCTGCTTCTTGAGCTTCTCCATCTTCCACAGGTTCTCGCAGGGGTTGAGCGAGGCGGGCGGCGCCGTGCAGGAGCAGCGGCAGTCGGAGCCCGAGCTCACCGTCTCCACCGCGTAGAAGTCCTCCACGCGCGCCTGCCCGCTGCGCACCCGGCTGCACGCGTCCCTGCTCAGCGGCCGCAGGATGCACTTGCAGCGGCAGTCGGAGCCCTCCGAGGTCATGCGCACCTGGTCCACGTCGCCGAACACCTGTGGGGCCGGGGATGGGGGGAAGGGGAAGATGGCAATAAGGTCTCCAGTGAGCAGCCACCAGGGTTTCCTGCCCCGCTGCAGGCAGGTGTGGCTGGGGGCGGCCTAGCGGGAGATGTCCTTTGAGGAAAGCAGAGACTGGCCAAAAATAGCATCCATGAAAATATTCATGGCTGCTGTGGAAAATTGGTCAGTTCCTCAACAAATGAAACCGAATCACTAGACCAAAAACCAAATCCGCTGCCAAGTATTTGATTCCACCTAATCATGACCGTATTGACCAAAGTGGAACGGTTTCGTAGGGTTTCGAAGGCGGTCAGTTCACAGACCAAATTGCCCCATCTTTCTCTCCAGGTGTGGCTGGGGGTTCACGCTGCCCACCTTTCAGTTAGCAGCTCAGCACTTCAACCCTGGGCCACCATGGGAGGGGACCCTCCAACTCCACTGTGAATGAATGGAAAGCAAGGAGGCACGCAGAGACTTCAGTGGCTACGTTCCCAACAGTTCGAAGGGGTAAACCACCTGGCAGTGTATCAACAAATAGACACGTGAACAAAATGTACAAGAAGGAATAAAGTTATGAGTCTCTGAGAGGTACAGACAGACGGGTATGCACCTGACTACTAGCCAAAAGGTTGGCTGTAACACACACACACACACACACACACACACACACACACACACACACTCACCCTGCCGCAAGAGGTGGCTTGAAAAGCAGGCCTGGCGATCTGGTTCCAAAA